CCTAGACCAAGGGCAATTCAGGCTATTTTGTATCTGAACAGTTATCGGCAGAACCGATTCCCTCCCTCCTCCCCCCCGTTTCAAAACACTCAACAGGGCTGGCTAGAAGAGATCCCATCAAAGAAAGAAAGGATCCGTCGATACCGTGCGGTTCCTCTAAACAACCCCCAGAAATGTTGCCATGCCGGAGGCCTCCGGGCCCTGTTACCTGCGGGATCCTTGCCATCTGCAGACAAGGTGGCTGCGCTCTTGCTCCTGGCTAGAGAGGCCTGGGTGGGGGCAAGCAGGCGGCTGATGGAGTTGCTCTCCAAAGGGCTGACCAAACGGCGACCTAAAGGGCGTGAAGCAACAAAAGAGGAGTCAACAAAACGTCCCAGAGGAATGCAAGGTGGCAGGTCTCACCACAAGGACCAAATTCGGGGGCTATACCAGCCTCCTGAAACCTAGATAAGGTTGCAAAAAATCAGGAGACTGATAGGGCCTTTAACAACTAACCAATTTTATTCAAAAGTTGAATAAACTGAATAAAATTGGTTAGTCGGAAAAGGCACTCCCAGACTCCTGATTTCTTGCCACCAGAAACTAACACAGCCCTCTTCCTACAAGGCCTCGATCAGGTTGCAAAATTCTGGGTGCTGTTTTTAATCGCCTGAAAATAATTCTGTAGCTGGTAAAAGGGGACAAATTGAGGGCACATCACTAAAATAGAGAACCGCTCCTTTGAAAGAAGCTTGACTGCTGGGAACTTCATGGACCAAGACACACTGTTTTCTTAGCAAAGATACGGAAAGCAGTTTCTCACTTTTTTCTGGGATCATTTTTGGACTTCCTAGTTTCACTGACAACTCTGGGATTCCCAGGGGGGTCTTTCATCCAGGTACTAACCAGGCTTAATCCTGCTTTGCTTCTGGGCCCAACCAGGCCAGTGAAGGCCTGCCCCCTGGCCGAGCCCTGGATCACACCACCGAAAGGAGAAAAAACAACACAGCCTCACTGAACTGCACGGTCGCCTTTGTTTTAGGGGCAGAAGCAAACCAGGAGCCCAGCCGAGAGGACAGCCGGAGCAGGGGCTGCAAATGTCACCTAAGAGCAACTGGCTGGAGGATCAAGGCAGAGGAGCCTCGTAGTTCTGAAGACAGGACGGTCAAGTTCTTTTTGCTGGGGTGGAGGCTGTCACACCGAATTGAACGGACACTCAGTTAATGCACAGAGGCTGTAAAGAACAGCTTCACTTGCCAAGAGCTGCCTGAGGGGCACAAAGTCTTATTAGAAAGGGAAAAAGTGAGAAACCAAAGGCAACGTCAGACATTTCCCAATAGGCAGGAGGGGTCAAGGTGTGGAGGGAGACACGCCTGTCCACAAGGGCCTGTCCCAGCAAGGCAGATAGTGGGAACGAATGTGCTTGATCTGTGCTTGCTATACAATTTGAGTTTTCACACGTTTGGGAAAATGCCTCTTTGTACTTATTTACTTAAAAAAATTTTTAAAAAAAAAAATCACTGGAAGAAGCATGCCATGTGAACTCTTCACCACCTGTTTTTTCTTCTTTCTGCACATTTTCTAATTCGGGAAGTTTATTGCTCATTCTACTCAGCGATGAACTCCTCTTCTTTTCTGGTTCTCCTAGAGCCCAAACACATGGATTATTTTCAAAATGCGCTTATGCTGACTCAAGCACTTAAATATACAATTTCAGGAGATAATCAGAAGCTTCTTTCTCTTGGAAGACTGAATGAGAGCAACAATCTTGGCTTACAAAACACTTGTTCCACTCCCCAAATAAAAACTTAAAAGAAATGCATACAGTATTTATTTGTCGGATAGGTTACCTTCAAGCATCAAGGGAAAAAAAGGCTAATTTAAATCAACAATGTCCAACGTCTTACATTATATTTCTTAAAACTAAGCAGGCATAGTTGCCTGGTTATAGATTAAAATTTAGTTTTATTTGAATCTAGTAAACACTTCACACTCTAGTCCAGGAACAAAGGTCTCCTCCTGTATCTACAGGTCTACTACCGAGGAAGTATAAAACTATAAAACTATTTCAGCAGATCTTTTCATATATACCAATCAAAATCAGGATTTTATAAAATAAGACACTGATAGGTCACATGGAGGACACATCTAGTCAAAGGTAGGTCTCTCTGTGTAGCGGGATGCTCTCAGGTAAATGGTGTCCAAACGGCAGCTTATTATCCTAATTAATAATGCTGGCTCTCAATTCATACACGGTTTATACAAACCACAGGCTTCAATTCAACCGAAACACAGGGCATAACTCAGTGATGAGACCTAGGTGTATTTTCTTCTTGATGATTTGTAAAGGAGCTTAATTTTTTAAAAAAATCTAGTAGAAATCACATTGAGACCTATGGAGAATTCAAATGGCTTTACAGTGTAATTTTTAATCTACCTTGCACAGGTTGGGCACAACTAAGATGCAGAAATTGAATTTGCAAAGACTCAGCCATCGGTTATAACCTCTCCTGTGGAAAACTCACTAATGTAAAATATTCCTGTACAGTTTCTATTTATTTTGATAAACCTCATGTAGGATATATAGATAAACAAAATAGTTCTCATTAGCTGATTTCTGAAAATTCTTGTTTGCTGCACCTTTCTGCTCCGTTTGTAAAGCGTTGGGTAGCCCTTGCTCAGAATTCAGAGAACTTTTGTTATTCAGCCTGTTTAATGAAGAGCTCCTTTTAGCTGATCCTGCAAGGAAAAAAAATCATGGAATCATTAGTGCGGCAAACATCGACATGCAATATCAGTGGATTCTTAAGATTGACAGAGGATAATCATTCTGCTTGATTGGAATTATAGTCCAAATGACCCCACTGGGGTTTGAAATGTGAAGACCTTTAATTTCTCTTTCAAACGGGTGACTACCCAGAGTAGTTGTGTGGTGAGATGGGCAGTGACCCATTTGAAATAGAAACGAAACAAAACAAACAATTAATCCAGACAGCAGTAATTCCTGGACTAGAAAGTTTTGATAACGCAACCCATTTAGCTCGGCTCATAAAAAGTGTAATTTGCAACAACTATTTGATGCCAGCACTACAGGCCGTGAGGTTCATAAAACCTCTCCTTTACTAACACACTGTCGAGGGGAAGAGCAGGTGCTCTGACGGCAAAAGGTACAAGGCCAATTTCTCAACTATTCCAGGTAGGACTGGAAAACATTCCTATCGAAATCACACGTACAGAGAAGTATAGGGTATGTACGTATGTCTTTATTTGAGTTTATATAGCCGCCCATCTCAGACCAGTGATTGATTGATTGATTCATTCACATGTCTCTGTGGCAAAGTACACCACATCACACAGCAGCAGTGAGCTGGGTCTGAAGTGGGTGAGATCGCCTTGCTCTCAGGAAGATTCCTTCTTCTCCCATGTTACAACCAGGTTAGGTAAGGGTTTCCTCTGAAGGTAGCAGAAGGGTTTCCTGAAGTTTAATTGGGACCCAGGAAGGTAACTGGGGAATGAGATGCTGCAGTAAAGGAGGAACGAGACTTCTGTGCTATTCTCACTCATCCCCATCCTGAGTTTCTTCCAATCCCTTTAAAAAGGCTGCTTGTTATGCTGGCATGGGGGAACCACTGCTGCATACCGTGGCTTAAAAAGAAGCTGCCTGCTTCTCCTGTAAATAGACTACAACACCTATTGTCTGATGACACAGAGGTGCCACGCACTGCAGCATAGCTCTCTTTAGAGAGAGGGGGATACTGCATGCTATCAAGATATGCCAGGACGAAACTGCTCTCAGGTTCCTCCACATCAACTTTGTGCATAGGGAGGTTGGCAGGCAAAGGAATCCATCCACCATTTTATAAGAAAGCTGTCTGGTTTGAGATCAGATGAAGCACAGCATGCAGATTTGGAAAGATGAATGGGAGAGGGTGTGTGTGAAATCATGGGTCGTGATTGGCTTTCTGAACTCCAAAATGGCGTGGAGAGTCTGGGAAAGGTTTACCATGGTTCTTCTGTTCTAAGAGACGTCACATCCAGCAACCGTTGGGTTGGAGGTGCGCCCGGTTCACTGGATTAACGAAATGGGTAGAATGTATTTAAGGCCAACTTCAGGAGGTCCAGGGGCTGCAAAGGAAGGATGGCGGGTCTTGCATCTGCTCTAAAGCCCCCTCCTTACCTCTGCTGGGAGAATTGAGAAGTGCTGCTGAGGACGAGAGGCGCTTGTGGAGAACTGTTTCGGGTTGCTTGAGGTTCACTGTGGAAGAAGAGCGCTTGTTGGCTGAAGAAGCAAATGATTATTTTAGGATTCTTTCTTCTGACAAGGCACTCCCCGCCAGGATAGACAGAGAGAGAGAGAGATATGGATAGGTAATGCTTCTGAATTTGTTAGCTTGTGATGAATGTCAAGGCGTCCTGAGGATTCCAACACACAGAAGTGCCTCCTATTTTACAAGTTTTGCTAAACATTCCTAGCGGGAATCATGGACTAGATCAGAGGTGAGAGATAACACTGGGAGTTTTCAGAGGTTTTAGACTATCACCTGCCCACAAACATTAGCCATGTTAATTAGGATCCATGAAAGAAGCACCGGGTTTCCCAGCCCTGGACTAGAGTTTATGGGGAAAGGATAGAAATAGAGAAATTTTTATAAGAACAGATCATTGGACTATCAAAAGAAACTGAAGAGCATGCCTATTTCTATACTATTATCCTTTAAAATTGTGTACAATCATCTTCTGATGACAAGTAAATAGCTAATAAGCAGCACAGCACAAAAACAGCAGGCATTCTAAACATGACACCAGCAATGGCACTGAGCAAAAATTTTGATGATAAAGCTGTTAATACATTAGTGAATCCACAAGCCATCTATACACAGAGGACAGATCCAACAGATCTTCCCTCCAGATTTACTACAGGGAACAGGATTCAATACAAAACAAAAAAATCAGTGCAAAAACATGACATCCAGAATGTTTATATGGCAAACTGAACTTCTAAGTCTTAAGCACTGCAGCAAAGCAACCCAGTTGGTTTTATTGTAATAAGAGAGCAGCAGCAGCAAATTTCTTTTAAAACTGTCTATTCCAGAGTTTCTCAACCGTGGCAACTTGAAGGTGGGTGGACTTCCACTCCCAGAATTCCCCAGCCAGCGTGGGAGTGGAAGT